GAACCTCTTATTCAGTAGCTCACCTTAAGCCCTTCAAATCTAACATCTAAAACAATCACATTCGAATTTATGTTAGTAAGGAGCAACATCATCAGTTAAATCACCTAACCATACCATATCAGTAATATCGACATCCTAGTGGTATGTACACATTTCCAACATAAATTAAACTCGTATTAGGATGAGAATCAGCTAAACCGAAAGTTTTGATACCAATAAATGTAACACTCTTAACTCGTATACGTCTCAAACATGAGTTAAAGATGTCAAACTATTTACTTTTAACAATCCTTATACAAAAATCTGTAAAAAAAATTCATTTTAAAAGTTAAAATTTAACGATTAAAATCAATTTAACAAATAGCGTAAAACAATGTAATAGTATTTTATGATTATTAAGTCTGATTTTAAGCAGCAACTACGCAATTCAATGTTGTTTTATAACATTTATTAAACTGCCTAAACACTATTTAGTCTAAAAACCACTCAGTTAATTTTTAAAACATAATATGATGTATTACTATTTATTCATACTATCATATACAACTAATACTAACCAAAATAAAATAGTTCCAAGTTAGTATTACAAACCATTTTAACTAAATCTATCAGAGAAACCAAACAATTCTATTATACATGCTACTAAAAAGCCAAAATAACATCATAGATGCCTTACTGATACTGTAGGTAGGTGCAATCTCCAAAAAGATGCTCGGGACGCTCCTCACTTCACGTTTTTTCCTTATCCGAACCTACGCGTGAAAATCATCACAGGCTAAGTAAAACTTAGTGAGGCATTATAACAATTTAAGGTCAGATAGAATATAAAAATATCATAACATTTCAAAATAATAAAATTTAATTCAAATTAAACAATTGAATTTCCAAACCGACTTAAGCCATTTTTCCACATCAATAACCTGAAAATAATATCTCATTATTTTATAAAAAAACATGATAATCAATTTGAATCATATTAATCATTCCATATTATTTTTCATTCAATCACATTTTAGTACTTTCACATTCCCTTTTCATATTCCAATGTATATTTAAGAGAATGCAAGCCACGTGAGTCAGACGAGTGTGTGTAATAAGCACTCCAAGAGCTATCATCAAAAAACAAAAACATGAGCTCCAAGTGTCTCATATCATTTGCACCGACGGTGCTACATATAATGCACAAAAATGTACAATATCAACATCAATAAACAGAGATCACTCCACCTCAAGGCATGCCAATTGTACCTACGACTCTCAATGAAACATACAACGAGCTTTCTAATAAAATCATATCATAATAAATCCATCATTTCCATTCAGTAGTATATTCCAAATATCATTTATCAGAAAATAGTATATTGGACAGTTCATACCCTAATTTAAGTCATAAATCATTTCAGTAAACATTATGGAAATATTCCATAAACAAATTCAAAACACTCTTTAAAATCATACGAGGTTGACTTATCACAAGTCTTCCTCAATCAATATAATTAAATAAATAAAATGTGCTCAACTTTGCCTCACTATAGAACCTTTTAAATGATATTCTATTACACACGAGCTCTGTCCTTCGCTTTCAAATCGCTAGGATCGCAAGATTTGTCGTAGTCTGTAGGACATCACATAAATAACACCATATTCAAACTATATTTTAGTATTATACTAGCATAATCTAAACTCAATAATATAAATTAAATTAAGCATTCTAACTTAAAATTCAGTATTCAATAATTAAATTTCAGCATTCAATAATTAAATTTCAACATTCTAACTTAAAATTCATCATTCAATAATTAAATTTCAACATTGAATACTCATAATTGAACAATTTCACATCAATGTCTCATAATTACCAAAACTTGAAAAATGATCCTTTTACTATCTCAAGGTTCCAAATTGATTCAATTCAATCTCCAAGGCATGTAGAACTCATCTAATATCATTTCTAGGCCATAGGAAAGTTTTGAATATTTTTCCCTTATTTTTCTTCCCATGGTCGAACCTATTCAACATACTAGGGCAAGGTTTTCATTTAATCTCAAGCATGAATTCAAGCTCTTATGATCAAATTCATGTTCCAATCATCCTAACACCAAATTAAATCAAAATTCAACCAATCTCCATAAACCCTAGCTATGACCAAAATTTGTATATGCTTTTATACTTGATTTTAATCATCACTTACGCTTGCAAATTGATCTACGACATCAATAACATAAAAACCATCCATTAACTCTTCAAAATCCATCATGTTCTTCATCTACCTAATACATGAAATTCATCATCCAAGCTTGATTTCCTTGAAATTTTTATACCAAATGATAAAGAATTTCAAGAGGATTAACTTTCTATCTGATAGCTTAATCAAAACATCAATCATGTAGCCTTAAAAATGAAATTGAAAAAAAAATCCCCATACCTATTATGGAGGTCATGACCAAGCTTGAAGATGAGAGCAATTCTCTTGAAATTTCTATAATTAATATCTAATACACATAGCTGTTAACTAATATAATTGAATTTAAAATTCAATTAATGAGAAATTCTAACTTTTTCCTTAATGATCTTGATAATTTAAACTTTCCATTGGAATATCTTCCGTTTTAATATCCCAAAGACAAAGATAAACCAATTAAATTTGTCTTTCAACCTTTTTCCATGTAATTTTAAAAAATTGCAATTTAGTCATTAAATTTTCCCAATTTTGGCTTAATATGGAAAATCGACTTTAATTTCACTAATCCATGTTAAATTTCACTATTCTAAATTATGAAAATAATATTTCCAACCATTTTCTATCATCCTTTAAATTTTCATAAAATTCAGATTTGATCTAATTATATGATTTCTTATCGAACTATATAACTTTTAAAACTTTACAAATTTTTGGTCCTTGAACTTTACAAAGTTTATATTTTTGGCCACTAAACTTTGAAAAATTAAATTTTGGTCACTAACCAAAATTTGGAGTATTACAATTCTTCCCCCTTAAAAAAATTTGTCCTCAAATTATTTACATATATGATGTAAAAAGACGAGGAAACTACTTTTTCACGTCTTCCTCTCGTTCCTAGGTAGCTTTCTTAACTTTATGATTCCGCCAAAGAACTTTTACAAGTGGAATAGTCTTGTTTCTCAGTTCTTTGACTTCATAAGAAATCATCTTTACTGGTTATTCTTCGTACGACAAGTCTAATTGAATTTCAATTTCCTCTAGTGTAACCACATGTGAAGGATCCGATCGATACTTCCGAAACATCGATACATGAAACAAATTATGAATTTTGTCCATCTTCGGAGGTAATTGTAGCTGATAAGCTACTAGACCAACTCTCTTTATAACCTCATATGGTCCAATGAATCTCGGACTCAGTTTTCCTTTACGCCTGAATCGCATAACCTTTTTCCAAAGTTATACTTTAAGGAATACTTTATCACCAACTTAATATTCCATCTCTTTCCTTTTCAGATCTGAGTAAGATTTATGTCGGTCAGCATCTACTTTAAGATTGTCTTGAATAATGTTTACCTTGTCCTCCACTTCTTTGATTAGATCCGGACCAATTATATCTCGATCTTTCAGCTTATATTAGTTCAGTGGTATCTGACATTTTCTTGTGTATAATGCTTCAAAAGGAGCCATCTTAATACTCGACTAATAACTGTTGTTATAAGCGAACTCTGCTAAAGACAAGTACTTTTCCCATGAACCTTTAAAATCAATAACACATGCCCATAGCATGTCTTCAAGAATCTAGATAGTTCACTCAGACCGTCCACCAGTTTGTGGGTGAAAAGATGTGCTAACATTCAGTCGAGTTCCCAAGGCTTTATGCAAGAATTTCCAAAATCTCGAAGTAAACCTCGAGTCTCTATCAGAAACTATCGAGACAGGTACTCCATGAAGTCGCACAATTTCTGTGTACAGTTAAACATACTTATCCATCGAGTAATCAGCTCGAACTGGAATAAATTGTGTTGTCTTGTTTAATCTATCCATAATCACCCAAATCGAGTTTTTCTTACAGGGTGTCAAAGGTAAACCTTTCACGAAATCCACAGTAACTCATTCACATTTCCACTGAGAATGGAAAAGGTTGCAACAAACCAAATAGCACCTGATGTTCTGCTTTTACATGTTGGCAGGTCAAACATTTGGATACAAACTCGATTATAGCCCATTTCATACCTGCCCACCAATATTTGCTCTTTAGATCTTGGTACATTTTATTTTCTCCTGGATGCATTGTCAAAGGACTATAATGATCTTCAGAAAGAAGATCCTTCTTCAATTCATCATCATTGGGAATGCAAACCCGACCTCAATAACATAAACATCCATCGGATTTAACTTCAAAGTATTTTGTTTCGTTTTTATTCACTTGCTCAATCCTTGCTAAGAACTTTTCATCTTTACCTTGAAGATCTTTTATCCGATCTAATAAAATTTAAAAATGTTCAATTTAATCACTCTAAAGTATTTTGACCCTTAAATTTAAAAGAAGGGTAAATTATATTATTCATCACTCAACTAACTTTTCGCTCTTATTTTAATCACTAAAATTTAAAAATGTTCAATTGAATCACTCAACTTTTAAATTGTTCCTATTTTGATTACCCTGTTATTAAATAATTAAATACCAAAACAGACACATTACATTTCAATATGTCCCGGAAGCCACGACTGTAATTCCGCAACATCAAAAAACTCCTCACCAATGTCCACCCAACAACATTTCCAAAAGGCTTTTTAAGTTCAATAGCATTAGCGTCAATAGCATTGTACCAGCAACTACCATCAGACATCAGACAACAATAATTCTGAGTTTGAATAATTATGTCTGCCAAGTATTTGTTGTCAATAATAAAAAAAAATGATTATAAACATATCTTACATATTCTATCTTGTAATAGTATTAAAACAAACAAATAAGTCGTGAATAATATTTGCAATAGCATTTTGAGTTGCTCAGGTATGAGTGTACAAAACTAAAACTGAGAAATTCATAAGACAACTTGTCTAAAGCCAAATAGAAGATTATACGCACTGATCTGCGCTTCATTGCTTAGCACGACTTTCCTTTATCAACAATAAAACGGCAATAATAACGGGCGTCAAAATCATGACCAAAGCCTGTGTGATGTTTGGTCTTGTAATCTCTGGAAAAAGTATGCTTCCATACTTGATTATAGCTGCACCCACCACTGAACCACCTCCTAATTTCCATATATAACTCACATCTTCCTGTTTTGCACAATCAGATTCTAAACTACATGATTCAATTTTGTAATAGAATTCAACCGAATTACAACAAATTTAGGGCTTTTTGAAGAATACCCATTTTTAATTCAGCCACCACAAAACGAGACATTAGAAAGTAACTGACCTGAGTGATGGAAGCAGCATTGGGTTTATCGACACTTGGATTTTCTTCATCCGTTTGGGAGTCAACAGCGCGAATGGGAAATGAGCGTTGAAACGAGCTAGTTAAGGAGCGGTTGTTGGCGTCGATGAGAAACTTTACGGAGCCATTCAACCTTGAAGCGGTATTCAGTCGGTGGTGACTTGCGGCGGAACAGAGGACCTTAGGTGTTCCGCTTGCCATGGCTGGAGCTGCCATTTCTCACCCCTCCTTTCTTTTCTTTCTAACAGCAGCTCTTGGATGCGGCGGAAATGATAACAGTTGGCTTCCTATCGACCCATCCTTCTTGGTATATATACATGCGTAAAATACAAATTTCTTCATTAAATTTTATATCAAAACGGTGTAGTTTTGAACTTATAAAATCATATTTTTCTCCCTTTTTTTTCCCCTCAATTTTTCTTATTTTATTTTTTCTATCCGTTTCATTTAAACCCATTTCATCATTCTAAACACCAATTCAGTATCCGTTTAATCGAATAATATCTCAAACTCCACAAATATATTATTGAACACCTTAGTTTCTTATTTTTTGGTCTCTTTCTTTTACCATTAGATTTTACTGATTCTAAAGTATGTGATTCTCCATCGTCTATTCCATCCTTTAATCATTGAGATCGCCCAATAAACTCATGAATATCCACATATTTAGAATTTAATTTCTAAAAGCTGGAATTTTAAGCTTCTGTTTGTTCACGGGAAAAGAATAAGCTAGCTGATAGCATGGAGTGGCTGGCATGGACCCAACAGTTTAAGTTCTAAGCTTTTGAGGTAGTTCCGACTGAAGTAGCCTCTATGTTCCACAAGGATATTCTTCGAGCCTCGCTACATACTAGTACCGATTAGTTTACATTCTCTTGTCGTTCCCAAAAAAAGCAATGATCAGTGGACTGAATTTTCTTTAGGATTTAGATTTATAAGATCGAAATAAGCGATTAAAAAATTTAGAACAACAGAGGTTAATTATTGCCAGCTCTTACTCTCATTCAAGATGATGACTATGATTTTCAGACTTCAACTTACCTTAATTATTATTAGGATAATGGAAAGTCGTATTTGAGAACACAAAGTGAAAGGTGACAATTTCAAAAATATTAAAAATATATGGTAAAACTGAAAAATCTATATCGAGTGTGAGTGAAAGTTCTTCTCACCGTGAAGTGGGATCGATTCATCAAGCATTTGATGATTCTACTGTTCCGACATACATACTCGACCTCATCCACCCGAGTTAATCCATCCTTAGGCACCATCTACTCTCCCATGTTTGAATCAACGTATGATTTTGAGCACATGACATCTATGATGTCAAATACGACTATTTGTCAGTCTACATTTGCAACAGAGATGGGAGAGCAAAGTGGTGGAATGAGAGAGTAGAGTGGTTGGATGGAAGAGTAGGGTGGTGGAGGAATATTTACAACAACGGATCATATGGCCTCAGTGAATGAGGAGGATGGCTACCACATTCCTGGGCAACAACAAAGGTCACAACGCAATCGACATTCGCCTAGACATTATTATTCCATAACACCCCGACACTGACAAGAATTATAAACAATCCACTATTATTTATTTCCTAATATTAAACAAAATGTTATTCATTCTTTAACTTAGATGGTTTAATTTAGTTTAATTTATCACACTAATTCAAACAAAATATAGAAATCAATCACAGTGATTCAAAAATAAATAGGAAAAACCAAACATTCATTCATTCAAATAAAATATGAGAATTTATACATCACATTCATTTAAATTGAAATAAAACCAAAAATTTAAATATTCGTTCATTTAAATACAAATACAAATATTATTATTGTTGATGCATATATCTTGGTAGATTTGGACACTTCATTAATGAACTCCACACCTATATAATCCGTACATTTTCAGTTGATCTTTCTCTCTATTATGAAAATCCATACTGGTATAATACGAGTGGACTCATCTCGACCCTTTGGACATCTACAAAGTATTCGATTTGACAGTCATTCGTCATGAGCCATTTTTGGCTAATATGATTCATTTTGGGTCTGTTCGAATGCATAGCTGTAGACATTTAATATCCTCTATAGATGAAAGCCATTATGAACATAAGTGTACACGATTATATCAGTATACATACATGCATGAGCACATGGATATCTCCATTCCTGAAAGTGACCACAATGACACCATCTCTATACTAAATCAAATCTAAATGTTTGAACTTATCCTCTTTCATTGCAACATATGCATGAAACAACAAATGTATGACCAATTCGGCCAAAGTTATGAACAAACATTAAGGTTGTCAATTGCTCATTTGCTTCCATTACTTCTACCACTATAGGTGCCCAAGTTTGACCTCTATTTATAAGACACTCAATCTCTCTTCCTCTATTGGATCAAACCTTAGCCAACCTAAAGTACGTATCTTTCACCATACTCGTTATTGGGAGATGAATGTAACTTTTAGTATTGAATTAATGACCTTAGCAAGGTTTGTTTTTATGTTATATCTTTGACCACCATTCTATGCTTGCGACCATTTTTCATGTTGAATTTTCAAAGGCTAGTTCAAAAAATGTTCACCATAAAACAATTTCCAATTTTCCAACCTCTTATCAAAATTTAGTTGGCGTAGTTTGTACCCTATTTCATAATATATATTTTGTTGAACATCAATTAAAAACACATAATTGGATACACAAATATTGAAAAATAAAATAAAACTTATCCATGTCATGTTTACTACCTCGCTGCGAATGCGAGCATTATGGAACTAATCGATATTGTTCTTACCAATATGGAGGATATAAAATGTAGGATATACATGCAGAGGTATTCAATGACTTCCTGACCATTCAATTACAACCAAAATACTTGTTCCTCAATCATATATCAAGAAAACACCATATTCTTGAACGACATATTGACGTAGTTTGGTCAAAAAGATATCCCTAGCCTCTATTGTCTCTCCTTCAATAATTAAGAATACAACTAGGAAGATAGTTCATTCACCATCTTGCGTAAATGTTAAAAAAAATACATGCTTATATTGATCGTACAACCATGTACCATCTACTTGGACCATGAATTTGCAAAATGAAAATACTTTTATACATTACTTGAATACCATAAAATGTCAAAGAAAATATTTTTGTCCCTGGAACAAGTTGGGCTTCTTCATCATATGTAGACATGGTTTGAGAATTAATTATGGTTCCTAGGATGAATCGCTTTGTTTCTTGTAACAAATATGGTAGCTTAGTATATGGTGTATCCCAATCTTCATACGTCAGCTACATTACCTTCAACTTCACATTCCAAACCTTGTCGTATTTTACTTGGTATCCAAATTGGCTTCAAATAAATGCAGCTAACACTGAACCAGGAATCCTTGGATTTTTTTCAACCAATACCTTCACGTATTCATATATTACATCAGAGTTCAATAATCGATGGTCTTGTTCTATGAGTTTCACAAACATGTGTGATGACCATTATACCTAGTGATAACCCAAGCATCGTGCCTTTGAATTTTTGACACTTTGATCTTCCACTTACACTCTGGGCCATATTTAACACACTTCGAATATAAGGTTACTTTGATTGGACTCTGCAACATGGACATCAACAAATCCTTTGATGAAATACTCTTTAATCGCCAATGTATTTTCATTTTTTCTCCAAATTGTATCCCAATTGAAAATTCATCCTAATTTTCGAATGACTCAGCCATGTGATATGGAGTTAAATGTGGCATGTTTATGAATTCAAGTGTGCTCATCGCATCATAATATATCTCGTACATGTGAAGTGTAGGTTGGTATGGTGCCATAACTTCATCGATGGCCAAATCAAATGTACCACCACCGCAGACATTATCATCTTTGGCCAAAACATGTTCCTTAGTTTCTTCATCTTCACTAGAATAACTCACTAACTTCAATAGTCAATTCCAAATGATGTATGTTTCTCACTAACTTCATTTCCATTTTTCAATAGCGCCATAAAATTGTTTATCGACTTGTATGTGTCCTCAAATAACTCAATAACTACAATATTTTTTGACTCATGTAATCCAATAATGTTTCATTTATCACCATCTTCTTCAACTAGTACTGCTACATATCTAACTGAATTGGGACATATAATAAACTTGTATTTCAAACCATTAATTTTAGTTTAATTTTTTTCTTTCTATCCCCTGGTTTATTTCTATAAATGTGATGTCCCTTTTGAACATTACATTTATAAGTCTATCAAACTATTAAGTCTAGTTCTCAGGATGGTCTTACTTCTATGCCTTATTTGCACGATAGAATTTACTAATAGTGCCCTATGCTATCTCTAGTCAAGGGACTCGACAGGTTCAAGATGCCATGGCAAACCTATTGACGTTAGCAAGTGTAGGGATCTTATAGGTTCAGATAACAGGATATGTCAGGTCAATACCTTTTAGCAGAAAAACTAACATCTAACCTCTCGATCGAGCACTACTCCTTTTAGTAGATTGAAATCCCAACCTTATGCCTAAGGTTGGATTAAGCCTAGTTACTACCTAGAACCCCTTGCTTATGTGGACCCTCCATAGTTTCTCTTGAACACTAAAGACATGCTACTTAGTCATTTTCTCGATCACTACGAAATCTCTTAAGGAATGACTACTCTCATAGCTCTTACAACCTTAAGGCATTAAACATCATAAACACAACAAACAACAACATACAAAAACAACCATCCATTAAAGTAAAGCTTAAATATTCATAAGGAAATCCCACCAAATAAGACTAGTTCATGGTGTGGTTCGAATCATCCAAGCAACAAGACAATAAATTAATTCATTCCATACAACCCAAATAAGATAAAAGAGAGCAAAAAACAAAGGGAATGAGGAAAAGCCTTCGACATGCACTTTCGGAGCTCCCCTCGGCCACCGCGAATTGCCCCAGCTCACTAGCTCCACTCGGAAACCTGGCTCACTACTCCCTCTAGATTGTTAATGAAGGAATGCCATGACAGAGAAGATTGATAGAAAAATGAGAGATTTTTTTCTCTCTGAAAATAAGTTCAAACTAGCATTTCTAAAGTCTTTTTTTCTCTTGGTGGCTTCATCTCCTATTTATAGGGGGAGAATAAACCTAGGAATTTGTGTTAAAATTCCTAGGATACCCCAATCAGGCTCCTTTCACGTGAGAGGGTGAGCAGCTATGGCAGTGGTCCCCTTCAGGGCAGCTGGGTGTGGACCAGACAGGATCAT